ATTTTGATATGTGTGTTTTAATTTGCAAAAAGTAATGTAATTTTAATTATTTTCTCAATTTTTAAATTTTTGGAATAAAGAAAGAAAAGGGTTTAACATTATTTTTCTTTATGTTTTATGATTGAGAATTTTAACTTCTATACCTGCAGAGCCTTATTGATTCATACGGTAATGCAATTGTTTTAAATATCTGCTGAGATTCCCAAATCTCACATGATAAAAAAATTTAGCAATTTAATTTATTTACATTTTTAAGTGTTAGTAATTTTTGTTTAAGCATGTATGTATGTTTTTAAAGAATTTTAATCATCATATCTGCAAAGTCTTATTGGCTTATACGGTAATATAATTATCCTAAATATCAGTAGAAATTTTAAAATCTCACACGATAAGGAATTAAATTTAAATATATTTTTAATTTAATTAATTTAATATATAATTTATATGTGTGTGTGTATTAAAAATTTAATCGTTATATCTGCAGAGTCTTATTGACTCATATGATAATATGATTATCTTAAAAGTCTACAGAAATTCAAAAATCTCACATGACTAAAAGATATAATTGATAATTATAATTACAATTTAAATACATTAATTTGGTTAATTAATTTTTTTAAATTGTGTATTATATCATTATTTATAAAAGTCATTTATTTCTTATAAAAATTGAGAATCACTATATCTTGAGGATTTATTATCTCACACGATGAGGTGATTAATTTAAGTCTCTGAAGATTTTTGAAATCTCACATAAGACTTAAATAAATTATTAATTTAAATTATAAAAGGAGAGTTAATTTTAATATATAAGTTTTGCTCTCATATCTGGAAAATCTTTTTGATTCACACGATATAAGATTATCCTGAATATCTGTAGAGATTCAAAGTCTCACACAATAAAAGAATTAAATAATATTCACTTTAAATATATTTTAATGCGTAATTATACAACTCATATTTTTAAATATAAAAATTTTAATCATTATACCTGTGAAGTCTTATTGACTCACACAGTAGTATGATTATTTTAAAGGTCTACAGAGTTTTAAAAATCTCATATGACCCAAAAGATCTAATTAGAAAATATAATTATAATTTAAATTTATTAGTTTAATTAATTAATATTATAAAAAAAATTTTTATTTTATTTACAAAAATTTGTTTATGTATTTACCATATAAATTGTAAATCACAATATCTGTGAAGATATATTATCCCATACGATGATGTGATTAATTTAAGTCTTTACAAAGATTTTTAAAATCTCACATAAGACTTAAATATTTATTATAAGATTGATTCTCATACCTGTAAAATTTTATTAATTTACACAGTATGAAATTATTCTAAATGCTTATAGAGATTCTTAGAATCTCACACGACAAATAGATAATCGAGATATTTGCATTTACAATCGGTGCATAATATTATGGTTGGCTAAACAATTTATGCAATAAAGAAAATGGAAAGAATAAATTAATTTGATAATTCACTATTCTTTCAACTCAAGAATGTGTTCTAAAAAAAAATTCAGGTTTCGCATAAACTTTTAGCAAGACTATAACCATGATAGAAACAGCTTCAAACCATAATTACCCTACAAATTATCAAAAATATTCTCACAAGCTCTTGTTTTTATATATATATTTTTATATTTTTGTCAAACACCTCTCAGATATGTTCTAAATTCTATATAAAAAGATTTAATTCTTGAATTTTTTTAATGCCTAAAACATACATCTAGATTAGTTCACACACTCTTAATATCTATCAATATATATATATATATATATATATGTTCATCAATAAATCCAGATTAAAGGAGATGACATGATTTAAATATTACTTGAGCAGATACATATTTTTCTTCCTCTCACCTTGACTTCAAGTTGAACATGTTCTTGGTTTTGAAGGGAGGAGTAGATGAAGAAGAGAATATCTTTATTGCTTGCAAAACATCCTAAACTCGTGTGAGTGTGCATGCATGCTACTGTTCATGCGTTTCTTTCTCGTTCATTCTCCTTCCTTCACACTCCTCAACAAGATCCAGAAGTAGACCCTAGCGAAGAAGGAGCTCGATCTCGTGCTCTCTCTTCTCTTCCTTGGTCTCTCCCTTCTCTTCCTCCTATCTCCTTTCCTACTTCATCGTCGAGTTTTTTTTTTGTTTTCTACAACGTCTTCTTCTCTTCTAGTTGTTCTCTCCTTCCTACTTCTCAATTTTCTGTGCCTCTCCTCTCCAGTTTTTCTCTCTTTTCTATCTCTATTTCTTCTCACTCTTTGTGGCTTTTCTGTCCTTGTTTTTCTGCATGATCAAGCATTTTTTTGGTTTTCTCAGTTCTCTGTTTTTCCAAAAAAAGCTTTTCGCTCTCGGTCTCTTGCCCCTCCTCTCCCAATCTCTTCTTTTTTCTAAAAAAAAAGCTCATCCTCGTCACCTCCTCTCTTGCTTCTGTTTTTTTTTTTCATTTTTCTATCTCCTCTCAAACCTCTCCTCGTCCGTTCCCCCCTTCTTTCAGTCCTTCATCCCCTTTAAAGCAAAAACAGGGAAGTGCTTGCATGTGAGGAGAGAGAGCTTATGTGCTTTCTTGCTCTGCTCTGCTATGTTTCTTTTTCTGCATTTCTTCTGTGCTTTTTGTGTTTTCTGTTTTCTATTTTTTTGTGCATGTGTGTGCTTACTTTCTTTGTTGGTGTTTCATTTTTTTGTTGCTCTGCATGCCAAAAGTTTCCCTCTTTTCTATATTTTTCTTTGTGTTTGCTTTCTGCATTGGTGTTTTCGTGTGTCTATTTCTGCTTTTTCAGTGCATGCCTTTGCTTCTTTTGTTTCTATTTTCTCCCGTCTGGTATCCCTTGGTTTGGCGGTGTTATCATTTTACCTTTCCTCCGTGTGCTTTGATTTTATGTTTTTGGCTGGTGGCAGAGTCTAGTTCTACTTTTCTCTTCTTCTGTATCGAAGGATCTGTTCTCCTCTTTGTTGTTTTTTTTTCTGTGGGTGAAATGCACACCCAGCAATTAATTAGTTTTTTTTATTTTAAATTAATGTTTACACTTTTTTTGAAATTAGATTATATATTTTCTTTAAATGAAAAACAACAAAATTTAAGTAGAGAAATTTAAGAACAGTTGGGTCTCAAAAAATTGATTCCCAATATCTTTGGATGTTTGGGATAAATTGAGAGAAATGTTCAAAGATTTAAACAAAATTTTTTTTAATTTTGTTAAAATTTAATCTTAAAAAGGTTTGAATTTTATTTTTATATTTTATATTTTTTGATTATTTATGAACTAGAAGAAATAAAATCCTAACAAAAAAAGATTATCTAAAATAAAATTAAGCCCTATCAATTAAATTAAATTTTTTTGTTTTGAAAATGTAATCCTAAAAAAAATTAAATTTTATTTTTATATTTTTATATTTTTTGATTATTTATGAACTAGAAGAAATAAAATCCTAACAAAAAAAGATTATCTAAAATAAAATTAAGCCCTATCAATTAAATTAAATTTTTTTGTTTTGAAAATGTAATCCTAAAAAAGATTAAATTTTATTTTTAAATTTTTATATTTTTTTAGTTGAATTTATTTTGATTTTTTTAAATTTAAAAAAAATACCTAGACAAAATACGGTGTTGACATAACCAAACATAAAGTAAGTTTATTTTTAATAATATCTCTAAACGAAAAATCACTATCAATAAAATCTACAAATTATCTGAAAAAGTTATTGTCTTTTTAAGTTTAAACAAACAAGCCTTAAATGGGGAAGAAGAAAATGAGATTTATTTCTTACTCCAAGAATTTTGTTAAATTACCAAAAAACAAAAAAAATCCTATAATTTCTTGATAAGAAAAAAATTGAGCTTACCAACCCAAATGAAAATGAATTGTATTCTTACTGCACACTAATAAGTGTGTAAGAATTTTTATTATTTAACTATTTTATTTTCAAAATTTTAATGTAGTTTTTTATTACATTCTTTTTTCTGGCCATAGTTTTTTTATTACATTCCATTCTACCTTGCGGAGGCTTCTTTTTTTTTTAATTCATTTTTTTTCTATGCTTAGGATATATTCCCTCCATTTAAAAATATAAAATATTTTTAACTGAATTTCACCCTCAATAAAGTACTTGCCTACTTTTTAACTAACTCTATCTTTCTATATTTATCCCTATTAAATATCCTATAATAAATATAAAGTCATTATTAATAGGGGCACCTTTGAAAAAAAAGAAATAATTACACCTCGAAAGATTAAAAATGTCTTATATTTTTTAATGGAGATAGTACTATATTCATAAAGTGGTTTCATTATATCTCATTTTATGTTAAGGAAATAGTGACTACAAGTCTACAACCTCAAGTCGTTAAAGACACTGAATAGTTTGTTAACTTTGACGAACTTATTGAAAACAGACAAGTGTATTTGTTTAAATTAAATTGCATCAAATTTTTTGACAGGGTTATCAGATATTCGAAAATAAGAAAGCCGCAAAATATAACCGTCATAAACTTGAGTAAGAACATCAAGCTTAAAGGGGGCCTGAAACAAGTTTGATGTTTATATCAGCCTAACCCAATTAAACTTATTTGGGAAAAATGGACCAGGCTTGCTTTATACGCGATTTTTCGCAATGTCCTTATTGGTCCCAAGGTGGAGGAATCCGAAGTGAGATTCATTTGTGAACCATTCTGGTTGAGCTTTGTGAAATTTTGGTTAACTGAATTTCATGGACCTATAATTATTCATTGTTGTAATTAAATGATCCTTCAAAAAAATTTATGAGATTTCTTTTAGATGATGAGTGGTTAAACTTAAATATCTCTTTTTAATCTTGATTTAAACTAACAGATAGGTTCGATTATTACTTTAAATGGATTAAAAAAATTAGTTAAAATTAATTAAATATAAAAAAAAATCTTATAAATTTTTAGAATAGAATTTAATGAAGTTAAAAACAATGAAAATTCTGAATTTTATTCTCACCATGTGAGAAGGATGAGTTGAAAATTAGTCATAAATATTCTATCAAATGTTGTCGAGGGTCTTGGATTAAAGACCATCAAGACGAATACAAATTCATTCATAGCCAGTTCCACTCTTGACTACATAATAAATTCGCATGTACAACATAAAACCATTCTCTTATTGATATTGAAATAGAACATAATAATAATAATAATAAAGAACTCGTCAATTGTGAAGCACAGAGCAGTCAGTGCGAATATTTCCATTCTTGGCGTTCTTGATGCCCACTCGGCCCAACTTGGTGATAGCGGCGATGAAATTTTGCTGGAAAATGTGGGCGCTGCTGGCGAAGGCATTCACGGCGGGCCTGGACCTCGGGTCGGTAAAAAGGACCTGGTCCGACGTGAACAAGCCCTTCCCTTGCTGCAGATTCTTGTAGTACACGTGGTCGAATGTGTGCGGAGTAGCGGGGTCCATGTTGATGGCTATTCTGGGGTCCACGTTCCTCGGGCACATGGACTTCAGATCCTCCGCGTATTTCGCGTTCAGCGTGGGGTCCACCGGCTTCTTACGGCGATAATTGTATACCCTGTTTGCGAATCTGCGGCAATGCGAGAATCCTAGGGTGTGTGCTCCTGTAACAACGCACATCCTCCGTTAATACTGTCTCTAATCCACCATTGATTTGAAAGTTAATTCATCAATCTGTCCATAATTATTACTTTAATTCGAATCATTTTGATTTATAAGACAGGTGCTCACAATTTCAAATTACAAGATTGATTGAATCTGTGACTACTCATTTACATGACAGCTTACGGGTTATTGACATTGCCCATGACGAATCTTTAATCCTCCTGTTATATACTGTACTTGTTTATTTGTGTTACATGAAATTTAAACCCGTACATAACTTATTTTATGACTAAAAAGTATACCATACATACACTATGTTCCACCGACAGATTTAATCTTCGTGATGAGCTCACGGGGATACTTTTGGAGATCCTGGATGGTCATTGGAGACCCCAGCAAAAAAGTGTATTCCTTTTTAGAGGAGAAAAGTTTATTAGAACTAGACCTCCTTGCTCGCTAGAACTTATAAGACATGTGTTACGGGTTGAGAGTTGTGTAAGCTTCTCTAGAATGTTCTTGCACTCTCTAACACTCTTAAGGTTAGCTGGGAGCCTTCTGAAGGATTCTGGAACATTTCGGACCTCTTTAACCTTGTGAAAAATGACGAATCGTGACATTCTCCCTCACTTAATTTTGCGACGCCCTCGTTGCGCCTTCCTCCTTGTAGCGTTGGATTTGATCAGTGAACTGCCACAGGAGGTCTTCTCGTAATGTCACGGATGATATCTCCGTGATCGTGGAAAGACCAATGTAATGAACGATCCGCTGGTTAGCCTCGCACAATATGGGTAAAGGGGATGACATTAGCATTGGGGGTATTCTGCCTCAGTCTTCGGACTGAGTGCACAACTGGTCGGGGGCTAGTGCCGCCTCCCTGATGAGCCCATGGTAGGGCGAAACTAGTGTAATCTGTATGTGATAAGGCTTGTCCTGAGGATTATGAGGTCCTCCAGGACGCCGCACAGGCGCCGTGTGTTGCGCCAGACTCTCAGCCCGTGACAGAGTGGTATCAGAGCAGGACGTACTTTATTGCCGTGTGCCTGTGGGGTCCCACGTTGGGACTGGTCGACCTCGGCACCGCTCCAGAACGGCCTCCAAGAAGGTGGGTTCAAAATAGTGACTCGGGCGGGAAGGTTGGCCGTTGTCGACTCCACTCCTGTTAGCTCGCGGGTGCGAGTGGGTCCGAAGAGTGTAGGACTCGGGTAGCCACTCAGCAGTAAGCTGATGTGTTTGTGGCAGTACTGTACGTACGATCCTTGGGCGGAGTCTTTCTCCCCTAGCACGAGGGCGTGCTAGATTGGGGTGTGGAAGAATGTCACGGATGATATCTCCGTGATCGTGGAAAGACCAATGTAATGAACGATCCGCTGGTTAGCCTCGCACAATATGGGTAAAGGGGGCGACATTGGCATTGGGGTGTTCTACTTCAGTCTTCGGATTGAGTGCACAACTGGCCGGGGGGCTAGTGCCGCCTCCCTGATGAGCACATGGCAGGGCAAAACTATGTGATTCGTATGTAGTAAGGCTTGTCCTGAGGATTATGGGGTCCTCCAGGACGCCGCACGGGCGCCGTGTGCTGCGCCAGACTCTCAGCTGGCACATGTCTCATAATTTGAAGAGTGCTTATATAAATGTCTACGGATCATTCATTAACAAGATTATTATATTAACAAGATTTGGACTCATTCTCGTATGTCATTAACTAAATCATTATACCAACTAAACCAACATTGATTCACAATAAAAGAGTATACTAGCTAATATGTTTCCATATTCACAGCGAGATTTTTGTTGGGACAATTGAAAAGGATAAGATGGCAATATTGTTGTCATGGCTCGTCAAATGGTGGGCAAAGAAAATTTCTCAAGAAAATGATTAAATCAATGCGAACCATGCACTCCTAATTATAACATGAACTCAGTTAAGTAATATAATGTTCAACCAAGTGATTTATTCAAAATATTTTATCTCTTACAATATATTCTAATTAATTTTAATATTTTTAAAACATTCAACTATATATAGAAGTATAATAGCATATCTTGCATATATCTCGCTACATTGTAGATTGATGATAAGAAAAATGGGTCCAACCGAGTCCATTAATTTGTTTCTTTTGTATTTTATAAGCAAGACCATTAATGTGAGATCCTATTGGAGCACATGCAGGGTGGAAGAGAGAAAAACAAGATAAGGAGAATTTGATAAATTTAGGCGGTCACACTGAATAAAAGCGGAAGGAGACTCTCATATTCTTCTTTCTTCTTTTCTCTTCACTTTTCCTATTTCCACCCTTTATTAATTTTATCTTTTTTAAAAAATTATTTAATAAAATAATAGAAAAGGTAGAGATGGGAGAAGTGAAAAGAAAAGAAGAAAAAGAAAAGGAAAGTGCCTCTCCCAAATAAAAGACAGCCTTGAAAGCAAGTGGGCCCCGCAACATTTACCTGAGAGAGCAATCATTTCCGTTTGGGTGAGGCCATTAGAAGCAAACAGAGAATTGAGCTGATTCAAGTTGAAATTCGGCTGTGGCAGCCTCCCATTCACGTTCGATGCCTTCGACACCAACCCATCGTATCTCCCCAGCTCCACCGTATACGACGGCCCTCCGGCCTATCATCAATCATACTCAGTCCAACAAAACTGAAGTCACCGATATTAAAATGTGAGGGTGAATTAACAAACCAGTGCTATGGCATCACGAGTGGCGAGAGCCAGAATATCAGCACACGACACTTTGTTCCTGCACCGAGGAACAGCGTCCACCGCAGCTTTTGCTTTGATCACCGTGTCGAACCCATCTCCGGCCAATGACAGATTATCTGGATGATCCTTCTCCGCTTTGTTGTTCTTTGTCGACGCCACCAGAATCGAAGCGTCACAGCCCTGTAAGAAACACACATAGACACACATATCAGAGTCATTGCAACCAAAAAAAATTGAAACTTGTACTGTTCTGTGGTGATTATATACGAACATGGACGAAGCAGTCGTGGAAGAAGAGACGAATGGTGGCGGGAGCTGTGACGAAAGTCTGGTGAAATTTCTTGCGAACTGCTTCTCTAACGATGTTCTCGAGATTGGGGCAGATTTTGGAGTAGTGGTGTGGACTTAGCTGAGCATAAGAGAAGTAGGGATAAAGACACAGACTTAGCGAGAGGGACCAGACAAGGATGAGACGATGAAGCCCACCCATCTGCGCAGTTTCTGACAAGGAAAAAGAACAGAGAATTGTGGGATGAAACTGGGTGTGAACCAGTGATATGATTATGCGGAGGGAAAAGTTAGAGAGGGTGTGTGATATATATATATACTCCGATAGCTAAACGGAGATTTTTTTTTTTTGGGGGGGGGGGGGGGTCACGAGCTAGCCAGTTGTATTGGGCACTCTAAGATCTGTTCTCAGAGCAAGAGAGCCATGATTTCTTTTGAATAATAATAATAATAATACAGAACAGTAGGCTTCGATGAGAGGTAAATACTGTTGAAGCTTGATCTGTGAATGGCCTCTTTTGTCTTATTAATATGTCCGATGTGATCGTTAGGACAGGTAGGGCCAGATTGGAATTGAAATTCTCAATTCCCAAAAAGAGGTGGACCAACACAGCAAGTTAATTAAAAAAAACAAAGGCAAATTAATGAGCTAGTTTCTTCTGGATTTTGCAGGATTTAAAAGAGAGAGGATGGAAAGAGATCAAGAATTGGATTACTATACGTATGGTGCATGGGTTTTTATGTGTAATAATATTTTCAAAAGTAAGATAAGAAATGATAAAGAATATTTATCATGGGCAATATACATGCTTTATGAACAAGAATGTGGAGTGCCATTCAAGGTAAGGATAATTACCTAGATGAATAGAAGTGTACTTATTTTGCTTGCTTGCTTGCATGAGCTCACTATTGTTTCCTATCAGTGTTATGGTTGAGATATAAAGTGAGATGGGAAGGCTCAGATTTGCTATATATGCCGTTTCAGTTTTTGATGAGTTACAAATTAAGGAAGGGACCATACCATTGGGGAATCATGTACTTTTGCTGACAGTTTCTCACACCAATTTACTTTTATTGTTCTTGCACTCTTCCATGCTGTACTTCATTTCTAAATACTACTATCTTATCCATTTTAATCTTTTATAGTAGTTATCCATCCTAAAAGAAAAAAGAACTTCAAAGATTGGCACTTCATCAAAGGATTGCGGTAAAATTTAAAAATAATAGAGAGATCTTAAAAGAATTAATTAATTTAAGTTAAGTTTTAGTGTTAATTTAAAAATTTATAATTTAATCTTTTAATTTTTTTAATTTTATTGTGATGAATTTTTAACTTGTATTCTAAATTTAATAAGAAAAATAAAATTTTTTTTATTCTTTAACATAAAAATAAAATTTTTTTTATTCTTTAACAATATTAAAATTTAAAAATAAATTATAAATTCATTACAACGCGGTTATAAAATTGAGAGATTGAGTTACAAATTTTTTAAATTTAACATTTAAAATTTAATTTGAATTAATTTATCCTTTATCATTCTCCCAAAATAATATGCATATATTTGAAAGGAACAATCTTCAAGGTTGCAACGTTCATATTGTGAAAAATAAAAATAAAAAAATCACTTAGCTTGCATTATACACTGGACAGAAGATGCTTCCCGGTGCCTTCTAGGGACTTATGTGGGGGCATATTTAATTTAAAACATGTTAAATCACCTAAAACAAAAAATCTCAGTTGGAACAGTACCAAAGGAAGAAAAATCCTCCTTTTTTTTTTGGCCAGCAGAAATAAAAAAAAATACTCATGCATTTGTTTTTAAATTTTTAAAAGAATTGAATCACAATCACCATTTATATTCCAAGTGGCAGTGTTAGTCCTAAATTATATTAACTGGAATTCATTATGGGAGTACAGAACAATAAAGTTGACGATCTCTCTCTCTCTCTGTCTCTCTCTCTCTCTATGGTCTCTCACTGTTTTTTTTTTTTAATTCATTGACTTAGATCTAAGATCGAGTGAACCTAAATTAATAATAACAGCCACACCAAAAAGAAAAATAATAATAATAACAATGATAGGCAGAGAAACAAAGACCAAAGTCAAATACTTTTCAACAAAGAAAAAGTAGAGGAATATATATATCCCGAAACTGGACATAGTTTATATTTTACAGGCCTTATTTGAACTAGGTTTTCAAATGTAGCAGCCACGTGAAATCACGAAACAACATGCTCCCTAAAAATAATTTTGATGTGTTTGAAATAATGTAGCCGTTGCAGACAAGAATTGTTAATAACAGCGAAAGCTAACATAGCTAATAATGAAAGATTCAGAACATAGCACATGGCAATCACTCCGTCCAAAGCCAAAAAAGAAAATGTTGAAAAGGTTGGTACTCAAAATGGGGTGGAAAAAGAGAAATTTGATGTGTTAAAGCCAGGGGGGGCCGTGCCGTGAGTGTCCATTGATCCAAACAAAGTGAAAAAAAGCCATGTGCCTCTCGTTGATTAGGGCAATAGCGATTGAGAAAAGCAAAAAAGAGAAAATAAAAATCGTAAGCATTCATCATAATTACCTGCATAATAATTGGCTGCTCATCACGTAATCTTATATTCCGTGGCTTTTCCCCCCCTTTTTTTATAAAAAGTTTATTTTTAACTAAATTTTATCCTTAATAAATAATTATTTATTTTAAATTAATATTATTTTTATATTATTTTTATTTAATAATATGTTCCATTTTAAGATAATATGAAGTGATTTTTTTATTTAGAGATATTTTTTTAAAAAATAATAATTTATTTTTTGAAATAATAAAAATATCTTATATTTTTTAATATTTAATTTTTTAAAAAATATTTTATATTTTTATAGAGAGAGAGTCTCCTTTTTATATTTTTTCATTTTTTATTCTTCTTTTTCAACACTTTCCAGAACAAAATTGATCAATTAAACAATATAAAAATATTAGCTAAAACTATATAGAATGCTCTTGAACTTTAAGATAACTTCATTTATTTTAAAAGCTTAAAATCAGCACCCCTAAACTTTTATTTTTGACACAAAACCCCATGAAATAAACTTTATTATTTTATTAACACATTTGGTCATGTCATATTAATAAAATACACACGGTATCATACGCAAAAAAATAATTTTAATATTTTTAATAGCCTTGAAACCGTGATTTGCTTTGTCCATCTGGATTGTTTAGATGCAAGGTGAAGACAACTCTCCATCTCCGTATACATACACATAGTAATACGTTGCCCTATCGAAGGCATCGGGTTCTTTTTCATCAGCTTCCAGTGGAGTTCCTCGCAGATCATATCAAAAATTGCTTTGCTCTCCGAAAACAACCATGTAAATCTTCACCCATTTTAAGCTGTTGAAAATAATTATTAAATTATTTTTTTTAAATCAGATGCCATGTGTATATGTTCTATTAATATGACATGGCAAAACTCTATCGGTGAAATAATAGAGTTATTAACTGTTAAGTGTCTTGTGTCAAAAAATAAAAGTTTAGGAAGGCTAATTATAAACTTTTAAAGGTGAGAAAGGTCATACGCAATTACTTTATATTTTATGAAACTTTTGCATATTTTAAATTGAAATATATAGATGTAGCATGACTAGATTACAACTTATCAAGAAATACTGAAAATTGGATCAATCATTAAACCATTCAAGACAATGATCCATGATCAAATTAATTATAAACAAATCATTTTACTAAAGTGGTCAAAATAATAGCCTTATAGTTACTAGTTCAATCAAGCGTATTGACCTAGATTCTACACTATGGAATTTAAATACAATTTTATATAAACTTTTCTTAACCTTTAAAATGCACATACAGTTCTTTTAATTTTTTTTTACATTCATCATATATTATTTGTTTAACTGCAATACTCCTTAGCTAAAAGCGTTTAAAACAGAGGATATTTTGATAAAAGTTTTGAAATTTCACTAAAGTATAGAGAAATTTTTTATCTCGGGAGGTTCGTTATTTGCGTATATTTAAAAATAAAATTCAGAAGATGTTCATAGAATTCATTCTGAAATTTTCAGTTGAAGTCTTGAAGATATGACGATACTCTAAAAAATTTACATTGAATCATAAATAATTTCGTACATAAATGCATGGTTTTAGAATTTAATATTAACTAAATATTTTTTAAGAAATTGGTATTAAATGTTATAAATTTATTAAAAAGTTTGTGTAAAAAATAAATTTTGATATTTTGAGAAATGAAGTTTATGTTTAAAAAAATTATTCCAAGCAAGTAGAAATAAGTCAAAAATATGGCACATAAATAGATTAATAATAAATAAATGTAAATCGTATTTGTGACCTAATAACACTAAATATGCACTTTCCTCAAAAGTCTCTTAAATTTTGAGTAGGATTTCTTCATAGTGGTAAAGATCAATGCCAAAATAAATAAATAGAAATTAAAGGATCCCATTAATTATTAATTATTAAGATTTACAGCCCGTGTCCATTTTAAAACAAACATTGAGAGGAGAAAATTCCGTCACCTTCTTCTCAATGCGAGGCGTGACAGCTTGAGTGGATGCCTTCGGCAGGTATAAAGTTGTTATCCGATGTGGGGACACTTTGTTGCTTACATATAGCTAAGCCATCAAACTGGCTCATTTAATTTTGTGCTCTTATTTTTTTCATTTTTCATAGTGCGTCACTTTTTCCCCATTGTTGCTTTCCAGCTTGGTGTCTGGGCTGTATTCAGGAATCATCAGAGATCATAGCCCCAAAATGGCCTTACTTGATGGCTATTTTTTACCTTATTTGACTGTTAAAAATGACCTCATACATTACATTTCATTTTATTTGACGGTTAAAATACTGTCATATAAAGGTGAAATTTACAATTTTTATTAAGATTATAATAACACTATGAATTTAAATCATTTCTTTAATTCATTTCAATTCCCAAATATACTGTCAAATTGTAAAGTTTTGCAAGACTGACTGAAACTATGTGAGGTCAAGGGGGATTGATTGAAATTTTCCATTTTCTCCCATCTTCTTTCATTTTTCTTTCCATCATTATTTTTTTTCTCTGCAAACAAAATGGTAGGTAACTTTCATGTGTTTTTTTAATTGAAAACTGAAAAACTTCATTCTAATGAAATGGACTTGGTGAGAGTGAACTTTACACCTTTAGCTTTTTTTGTTTTTTGGTGGGGAGGTTCAATTAATTTGTTCGTGCAATATTAGGAGTAATACTTTCTTTGTGAAGATATTAAAGCTATGCATTTAAAA